GTATTTTCCTAATCTGGACTCCAGGTCTTAAAATAACCCCTACTGGTATAAACATTCGTTGTACGCACCTCTTCATTCACTTCGTGTTGGAAATGTCCGTTTTAAATTTGTATAACCCCCTTAAATGAAATTATGAACCTATTTTCAAGAAAAAAAGTTTTTTACTGTGATAAATAGATAATTTTTTAATTCACCTGATATTCTAAAGGCTTTGTATGACCCAAGAGTTTGTAACGTCACGAAATAATGATAAGACCCACTTTTTAGTGTACCGGTCATATCTCGACAAGCTGAATCGATCCAACCATGTATGTACGTCTGGTCTGTCCATTATACATAATTTGTAATCAAAGTACAGGCCTATTAGTTATGCACTAATCGTCACAAATCTTCGGATAATACCATACCACACAATAGAATGTAAATATTATCAGGCTCGGGATTTAGCTTCGCATAAAGTTAATGTTCAATAGTATTTGTACATGGTCGGCCCGTCCGACTAAATTCCTTCGCTTATTTTCAAACACAATTACAACATCTTTCAATTTGATTTACTGTCATCTATCGTGATTTGTCTCTTTCTATTTTCCAAATTTAAATTAACCTTTAACACCCAGACGACTTCATTTTTTTGGAAATCTATTTTAAATTCTCAAACTAATACCACAAATCAAACTCATTACAACATTGTTTGTCGTTGAGAGCATCTTTAATCATCGATCACTTACAATTTCATTTCAAATTACAATTACATTAAAAAATCAACGTACTTTGGACCTTATCTCTTACAGCTAGACAAACAACTCTTTCAACTGATCTATAAGTATTTTACACTCTATATATACTAATGTATATATAAATCTACAATCTACATGTGAATGTGAGCACATGTTTTGTAAGCATATGCCATAAGATGATGTACCATTTGAATGGTCCAAGACCCAAAACCATAACATTCAACATAGAAAATCATTTCACGTTTTTTCGTATAGAAGCTCATAAGAACAGAAGTATTGAGTACAGAAACAAACAGCCAAAAAATGAATAAAAAATTAGATGACCACACGTTAAATTTCGGAAAACGCTCGACAATTTTGGCAAATTGTCAGCAAAAAAAAAAAAAGAAAAAAAAACACAGGGGAAACATAAGTTAGAAGCTAATGAAAATGATGACGGTGGTAGTAATGATGATGATACTCTTCTGTTGGGTTGGTTTGTGATTTTGGTTGTGAGGAGGAATTATGCACTGTGGTTTAGACGGAAAGTAAAAAATTAATGGGTCGATTATGGAAAGCAACCAAACTCCAGTTACGATTTCATCTGGCAACGCCACTGAAATAAAACGTAACATTATGAATATCAACTTTTCTTAGTTGCCGTCGATAGCACTGTATTGACACTTCTTCAACTCGAAATATTGTAAAGAAACAAAAAATTGAATAAAATATTTCAGAAAAACTAATTATATGTGATGATAAGCTCAGTGGAACTATTTTTTGATGATGAAAATGATGTTCAAGGTGTGACATCTATTAGAAGGCATTTAAGAGATAAGTCCATTAGAACTACCATCAGTTCTGTGAGTAGATGCTTATGTTTAGAGAAATGTTCAATCCACTGCTCAATTTAGCTTGAAGACGTATTTTCGGCTACCAAAAGATGCCGTTGTATGCTTAGTTGAAGCCTTTCCGAAAAGCCCGGCGGTCAATAGCAATTCCTTAAAAATATGTGGCAATGACTTCAACCTTGGCATGGCTCAACCCACAATGCCGGTGGTTTTTTCCGAAGTTGTCCGGCTAATAGAGGAAAACCTGTGTAAAATTTGGATTGTTTCCAAACAGCCTTCCACACATCATCGATAGTGGCTTTGGTTTGACCAAAAGTCCGCACGCCGCGTGCTTCATTTGGGTGAGCTTCCATCCGGGCAATTAAGACCTCAAATTGTTCTTTTGTAGTAATATTCGCCATTATGAGAAGCCTACAAATTTCAGTTGTTATTGTTAAACACGACTAAACAGCAACCAGAAATAAATGGTTGCCGAAAAATTATATTTGAAGCAACTGAAGTTGACAACAGTTGCTATCCATAATTCATATTTGGCAACTGGCAACGCCCCTAAACTATGGTTACCATCCGCAATCGACCGATAAATGTAATGCATTTTAATGGTATTCAAATTGATATTGAAGCCACCATAACCTCTATATTTGAAGCCCAGCGAATATTCACTGTTCTGAGATACTTTAAAAATATCCTCCTCTATCAAAATATGGGCTATTAAAGTTGATTTAACTTAGGGATAGTCGGTAGTCGAGCGCAAAAGTCGACTTTTAGACTTTTCGACTTTTGCCTTTGACAAAAAAGTCGACTTTTCGATTTTGCCAAACCTGTTCTAAAATCGATTTTCGACTATGTTCTGAAATGTGTAATTCTTTGGCAATTCGATCTTGAAAAGTATCCATCAGCAGATCGAACAAGACACTTGAAATATACCAAAGTGATATATAATTTCCTATTGCTTGAAGTATTGCCTCGAAACTAATTTTAGAAAATGATGAGTATCAGCACGTTGTCTCGAAAAAAACATCTACTCTCATCATTCTTCGTCCAGAGTAATTTGGACTAAATAAGCGAGGACCTCAACCACTGCACAAAATTCAAGCAGGCGTTGTTTCTAGGCGACAATAGATGACAGACCATTACCTAGAAATGGCTACAGCAAACCAATCATCTACTTAGCTGGAATAAACAAAAATATGAAACTAACACAAGGACTAAGCGAGTAAGACAGTGATGCTTTGTGGAAGCGCTATGCACCCAAGAGGAGTAACAGAAGAAAAACATAGGTTATCGTAATTAGACCAATAAGTGAATCATAATAACTTCATTTTGAGCCGGGAGTGATAGTGTCTAGTGGAAGACTGAAGACTACTAGGATGGCTCCGCAACTAACCGTCTAACGGCATCCATACTCTCCAGAAGAAGTAGAATTTACTAAAATAAAATATGTGGATGATATGTCTAATCATGGACCTATATTAATAACTTTGATATTCAGTAGAACCCAATATATCAGTCAATTCAGTTTAGAAAACTTTTTAAAATCTTCAAAATATCAAATATGGGAGGGCCCAAAATATAATATTCGGTTGGGAAACATTTTCAATATCTTTTTCAATTTTACCAAGGAGTAAAACACCAAACCGAAGGCTTTGGTGCAGGCACATCCCCCTGTAGAGATGAAGAAGAAACAGATGCAGACAGTGTATTGAGGGTCTGGAAGGAGCATTTTGAAAAGCTTCTGGTATCAAATAGTAGCGGTGAAGAAAATACCCCAGAACCAATAAGAGATGACGTTATATAGTGTATACCCCCTAGCCAAGATGAGGGCAACAGCTGATTAGTATAATTTGGCTAGAGGAATGCATGCCCAATGGTAGAAACCTCAGCATCCTGTGTCCGGTGCACTCAAAAGGAGACAGGATGATATGATGAATAAGTCTCCTTCCACCGTATATAAAGTGTTATCCAGCATGCTATGTGAACTACTGAAGCCAATGGTCAATGATAGATTCAGATCTGGCAAATCCACCATTGAACAGATTTTCATTCCGCGCCAAATCCTAAAAAAGGCCCACGAAAAACACATCGACACATTCCACCAATTCGTCGGCTACAAAGCCGCATTCCACAGCCAAATCCGCGTACAGATGTATAAAGCCATGTCTGCGTTCGGCTTCGGAAAGAACCTCTCGGAGCCCTTTAATCGAACGAGGATTTAGACAAGGTGACAGTTTGTATTGTGCCCTTTTTAACATCCTCCTGGAAAGATAATACGAAATGCAAATGTGAACAGAAATGACACTCTGAACACCGAACAGCATATTTTACTCGCCTACGCCGACGACATGGACATAATGGATCGAACATTGCGAGCAGTAACAGCCACCTTTGAACGAATTGAGAAGGAGTAGACTCGGACCAAGTGTAGAACTTGAAAATTGTAGATTCAAGGTAGTGAACGATTTTATATACCTCGGTACCGCCATAAACAAAAGTAATTACATCAGCTTTGAAATCCTGGCAAGAATAGTGTTGGCCAACAGATGCTACTATGGTCTGAGTAAGCAATTCAAAAACAAGGTCACCTCCCGCCAGACCAAACTTACAGCTGCAGCGATTACGTTGGCTACGTCATGTTGTGAGAATGGATGAGGATGCCCCAGCACAAAAGGCATATAAAAGCAAGCCATCTAATGGCTCACGCAGAAGGGAAATGTCACGAATTCGATGGAAATAGCAAGTGGAAGAGAACATTTCGAAACATGGTCTTTCAAATTGGAAGTTGCGCCTGGAAATCTTCTTTAAGCTTATGGAACAAATGTTCTGCCACAAGCCAGCTAAGTAAAGTAAGTAGGGGAAATTGTGATTATGAGGGTTACGTCTAGGGGTATTTTAGGTGACGATATATCTTCTCAATGATATTTTATAAATATGCGATCCGCAAAAACAAAGGATTAATTTGCGACGCCTTTCTTCGGGTCCCATTAACGCTATATGTGGGGGTTATAGTGTATATTGAAATGTATGCGATAGAGTGTCATACTTTTCATTTTTTTTATTTTATAAGGTTTTTATTATTAAATTTTCTTTCAATCATTTTATAGAACTTCAAAAATCATTATTTGGAAAATTCACTTCCAAATCACTGTTCCAATTTCTGATCAATAATGTTGTTAAGGGGCATTAGGCGACACAAAAACAACAAAGAAGCATTAGAAAATCAAATGGACATTTAGGAGATGAAAAAAAAAAACATAAATTAACACAACAACAAAAAATAAATGATTCATGCATTCAGATGGAACATTAAATAAATCAGCAATAACAACCAAAAAGAAAAATTATTTACAAAATCAAATAAAATAATCCTTAAAAATTAAAAAAAAAAAAAAACAATTATATTAATTTTTATTAGTATCACAAAACGACTACTTACCTGTATTTGTTGTTCCAACTCATGTACAATATCCTCGCGAGCCAATGTCACCTGTTCCTGTAAACGACGCTCGTATTCATCGATTATTTTTTGTATGATTTGGGTTTCATTATTTGCAGCGGTCATCAGTTCATCCGTATCGATAATGATTAATGAGGTGTTGTTATTATTGTTATTTTGTGCACTTGGCGATGATGAAGTATTTACATCACTGACATTGGCCTCTTTAATGGTGGCGTTTTTCTCCACATCCTCAGGACTCACATCTTGATCCCGAGAATCATTAACATGACGTACTGTCATTAGAGTCATATCTTCAGTATTGACTGAACTTTCTTGTGTCGAATTGAGTGTGGAATTTTTATTTGTAGCCTATTTTCAGGATGTTTCATTTTTTTTTTTTTTTTTTTTTTGTTGGTTTTTGGTTAAATACAATTTGAGGGTTAGCACAATAACATCCATATATAATGTGTTTTTGTTGGTTGTATGCATTTGTGTGTTTGTTTTGTTTTAGCCATAAAATAAAGAGAAGAGAATTCAAATGCAAATACATGCTTGTTAATAACACAACAGCAAAAAATAGAGATTTTTGTTCTGGGTAAACTTTTTTCAACAAACAAATCATAGCTTCTTTGAGGGGAAGGAGGGGAAGTCGAAAACTCACAAAATCGGGATAACCAAAAGATAGATTTTTTATTTATCTATATATTATGAAATTACAGTACAGGTCCTCATATGCTTTGATAAATTTACTTTATTGTAGCCCTTATTCAATTTATTATTGCATTTAAGGTAAACTGGACCCTCAGGGTCCATCAGACATTTGCAAGGAAACATTAGACAGTGTTCTATATATAAAAAAGTTTGCCAAGAAGGACTTTATCTAGAAAGACAAATTACATACCTTTCGGTGGAAAAATCTGTATAGAACCATCGAAATACCTAAAGTTGATCGGAACCTTTACACTGAGACTAACTGTGGAAAACGTCTATTTTAGATCGAAAGGCATTCCAGTCTACATCTTCGATGATTATTTCCTGCAGAAAGTTGGTGAAACTATTGAACTAACGCGTCCTGAGAATATCAACAGGATGTCTGCATCCCCATGAGGGAATAAAATCATGGACACAAGACAGACAGTGGGAAGCCCAGTAGATATATTGGGTAAATAAGCAGTCGCGGACAGTCAGAGGGTCTAAGGGGAGAATCTCGGAGGAAATGGCCGAGTGCCAATGATCCTTGGATTGACGAGTCGACTATTGGCGCCCATAGTGGGTATCTTATTTTCTCTCAGTCAGGGTACCGACTGTATTTGAATGGAGCCTGGTTAATACCTGTGCGGCCAACTAGTATTAGGTTTAGTTACCAAGTCCTTACAATCGTAAGGAGGCTATGCCATTGTCGACATATCGTCCTCCACAAAATAATGACGTATAGAACCAGTGATTATAAATAAAATTCTCCGACGGAAATGAGTACAGTTGCCCTGGCACCCTCAGATTCAAATTTTAGAAGAGCAAATCTCCAATTTAAAAATCTGGACTCAGACTAAGACTCTTTATCCAGTCTACAAAGCATATTCTCACGCTCAACCGCGGGAGTGAACGTATGCCGAAATTTCCGCCTGAGTCAGGAAAGCATTTCGGAAGACAGGGTACGACATTTCCATGTCGGAGGAGGAAGACGATGCTGACAAAACAGTCTCACCTCCAAGTCAGAAGAAGTTTTCAGATATGAAACGAAAAAAAAGAGGACCCTTCGAGCGCGCATGCTCCCGTCTCTGCACCGAAAATGATCGATGAGACAGGACCTCCAAGGCAATTAACCGCCGAAAACAAAGCAGTCAATAGGGGAAATTCCATAGGAAGTTTGGTAACCCCCTGACAACTAAAAGTGGAAAATCCAAAGAGGCCTTGCCTTCCAGGGCCTCTTTGGATTTTCCACTTTTAATTAGGAGCCTGGTTAATACTGTGGCTTTTGCCAACATTACGTCTACCAAGACCAAGTAAGGTCAGTGATATGGGATTCCGTTTAATCAGGAAACACCTAAGAGCCTTAAGGAAGTACATAGGGAATTATCCTCAGAAGACAACTAGGGAACTGCAGATCGACAGGAATCCTACATCATGTACTGTGGCTACTCACGTCAAGCCCCCAAAAAAGACTGCGACTACGGATTCCTACGGTACAGGATCACAGAAACCCTCGGACATTTCAGCGGAACCTTTTCCGATTGAAGTCAAAACCTCCTCAATGCCCTCCTCAACTAGCTGCAGACATTCCAATCAACAGCCACTATGAGGGATAGTGAGAAGACTACCACCGGAAAGACCAAAGGTCAGGTGGCAAGACTTCGCAGGAACCTTTGAAGCGAACAAAACGTAAGGAAACGACAAATGGTCCCAGATAGCCAAAGAGTAGCTATCATTGACAAGGCTGACCCCGATGGACGGATCAGTGCGAATCATTTGGTTGCAATAGGGTCCCTTAAAGTATATTGGATCGCACAGAAGTAATCTTTACATGGAATGGAATTCCAAAAATTGATAGGTCTTCACCTTCAGTAGAAAACCATAGATAGAAGAGAATTTTTGGGTTTTACAATAATTCTTCAGAAGGTATTTTATATAATCAACTATATTCAACCAATTTTTCGATTTGTAACCTTTTGTGTACAGATGTCACACAAAACTCTCAAACACCCTATAGAAGACCCTCAGAAATACTACTTTTTACGGACGATTATACGAAATTCGTCTCTTTTTCGACCTTTATGGGCCTTCTATTAATATATGGACCTTCAGAAAGTTTTCTATGTACATAATGCAATCAACAGGTCTTCAGCAACCTTATAGATTTTATTTTTTAACAAGGGGAACTGAATCTAAAGATAAACCTATTAACGATCTTCTATGCAACTTATATAGGATCCATATCAATATAATAATTCTGTAGGTCTTTCGTAAATATGATATTCATAAAACCACTTATTGTTCTTAAATAAAAATTTAAGGACCCTTTTTTATCTACAAGCACTTTTGTCTATAGAATACCCTCAAGAAGATTTGTATGCGGTTTAAAAAAACCGTCTATCTATAGCCTTATATAGTTAATTCTGTTTATGAAATATCCTATCCAAAAGTGAATATTACACCCAAAAAAACGTTCCTCTGTTAAATACCCCCATAAAGACTTCTGCCGATTAAATATGAAAATAGAATATCTTTCATACGCCTTTCACAGATATAATACCTTCTAGAGAACATTATACATTTTTCTGTCAATAAAATATATTCAGAAGGGTTCAGGTTGTCATCTATAGAAAGAATATCTTTCATGGGCCTTCCACAAATAGACAAAAATTCTACAGTTCTTATACAGCTAGAAAACCTTCTATAGTTTCTACAAATTTAATATCTTCTTCCTCTTTTTATAAAAGAATCTTATAAAGTCTTCTGTCAATAAAAGTAATGTAGAAGGCGTTATATATCTTCTACAGTTCTTGTATAGATTGTCTACACATGGAATACCTTCCATAGTTGTTTTACACATTGAAGGTCCCTGCGATACAGAAATCGTTCTATAATTCTCTTTTTCGACAACAAACCAATGATATATAATTTAATTAATATATTTTTTCAAGAAAATATATCAGCTTCGCTAAATATTTAAAATCGACAGCACTTTTCAATGCATATTTTGCGGCGCAACATAATTGACGAGGCACTGAAGAAATGTACGACAAAAACGAAGCATATTTTCAGGCGCGTATGGAAATGTAAAATAAATGATTCTCATAAACTTGTAATGTTAACTTAATGGAAACTCTCCCAATCCTTCACCCAAAAAAAGCATGATTATGTTTGTCTTTTAATTCTGATTATAATATGAAATTAGTGAGTGAAAATTGTTTTGTTAAAGTCGAATGCAATAAAAAATCTTTAAGCAAAACAACATGCCAATTTTTTGTAATGAAATGAATAAATGGATGACAAAATATACATTATAAATAATCTCCTTTCCAAACTTACCACAAATTCATCTTCTGGATAACGTGATTCATAATATTTCAAACGATCACTTAATTTCTTGATGTTCTCTTCCTGGGAACGTTGAATTTCATGGATTTTATTTTGATAAAATGTTTTCAATTCGGTTATTTCCAAGGCCAACTAAAGAAGAAAACCAACCAATTTTAATATCATTAAAAAAATAAAAATTAAAATCCGAACCCACCTGTGATCCTTCATTTGCCGTTACCTCCTCGCTGACACCATCATTGCCGGGTGTCATTTGTCGATGTGAGGGACTTAATAGTAGCTCAGCCCTATAACGTTTACGTGGTGAGGTTTCTTTGGACCTTGGCAGTGTTGGTGATTTATAATCGAGTGACAATTGCTCCTGGTCTGATGATTCAGGTGAGGACAAACCTTGCCGCTGGGATTTTTGTGAAAAGACATCATCGGAGAATCTATAAAAGAGGGATTAGTTTTTTGTTAGCATTTTTGTGATTTTGTGGTTATGGGTTTGGGGTTAATACTTAGGCGTTCCGTGGGATTTATTGGTTGGCATGCTTGGTTAGAAAAAAGTAAGGGAATTAGTATTATTAATTTTTGTTTCAGTGGGATAAGGGTTAATTAATTAGCATAAATTTTGAAATAAATAATTTAGTAGGGATATTGGGAGGAGGTTTGGGCAGAATGATAAGAATAAACGAGAAAGGAATAAGGAAATATATGAATATAATATATAAGCATTCTATAGAAAATCTGTCCACCTTAAGCTGAACTTATGTCCAAAATTTTTTCTAAGGACAATTTCTAGCTACAAATAACTGCAAAAACTAAACTACATCCAATTTGGTTTAAAAAGGTACACAATTCTCAAGATACTGAAAACAAGATACTGAAAATCTTAATCTAAACTTAGACCCATAACGTCAATTGCATTCAAGGAGTTCTCCCTACTGGGAATATAGAATTACATCCAAATACACCCGTATATTGAGAGTTATGTTTATATGTGAATCGACCATGACCTGCCTGGAGTAACAAAAAAAAAATATTTTGACCCCAATGTTCTAGAGGTCACATCTAGGGTCTAGATGTCATCAGCCATTGCTACTGCTATTTCGGATCTGATAAAGAAACCTTGTTGACATCCTGTACATCGATAGGCCGGTCTGTGGTAAAATGTGGTGCTTCTTTGCTCCAGTGTGGTCCCCTAATATAAGGGCTATACAAAGGAGAAATTTCTAATCCAGCCTGAATATCACTCTGAGAACTGCAAATCACCTCCTTATAGATCGTTTTTGTGACTGGGGGTTCTACGACTCGAAACGGCCCGAATCTTACTCGGACAACGTCTGTCACTTTAGACAATTTTGCAACAGCAATAGGACTGCTACAACAACAGCCATCCTATAGATAGGTGTGTCAGGATTTATCTTCATGACCTGAATTGAGAAGTCCGGACGTATAAAGGAGAATCTCTCCTGTCAATCAGGATCGACATGGTGAATATAATCCTCAGGGAACACCCGCCACAGAAAGCAGCAGCTACCAAGACAAATCAGAGTGATTTTTAGATCTCGGTGGATAAGCCGCCTCAATTCGTTGGGCGCGAATTGATTGCACGGTGGATAACATCTGTCTGACTTTTGGTAATGGTCCACATGATACGCTACACCTCCTACTACCCAGCTAAACCTTCTCATAAAACATATATACAATATTTACAGGTCACGACATTTTTGAACCTGGAGTTAGAAGCAGTACCAGATTAAGTAGAGAAATGATAAACAGTAAAAGCTCTTACAACAACAACAATATTCTTCAGATCTGGATCCAAGCTAACAAGAAAAAAACTGGATATATGCTTTCAATACACCCCTACCATCGACACTACTGACACGTACTGAAGGCTCTGAGGTGCTCAATTAAGAAGTCTTTCGCAAAATCATTCAGATAGTTCCTGGATAACTTCCGGATGTATTTAAGGTTCCTCTTAATTAGAAGGAACTCCTTGACCGCTATCGAGTCTCTGTCCGGTTCCTCATAATTAGAAGGAACTCCTTGACCGTTATCGAGACTCTGTCCGGCCCGATAAACCGGAGGGCCCTCAGAAGAGGAGATCCTCTGTCTTTTTTCTGTTTAGAGAGAGTACTTAAGATCATCACTCAAAGGACACATACAGGAGGTATTTTCTTTATAAAAGTCTAAAATTTTATAGTGGCGCCTCTCTTTATAGAAGATTTTTATCTTTAGGATACCTGTAGAAGATCCTCTAGGGAAGATCCACAAAAGATCACATCTCTATAGGAGATCTACAGGAGGTATTGCCTTTCAAAGTCTTTCAAAAGTTCTTTTGTCTTCGAGAAAATCATTTTCTGGTCTTTTGTCTAGAGAGAGTCCTAAAGTGGTTATCTCTCTATGGGAGATCCACATGAGGTATTCTTTTGAAAGTCCCGCAGAAATTCTTTGTCTATGACAGATTCTCAAAAAGCGTGTTTTGAGACTTCGTGCCTATCAGGGTATTCCAAAGAAGCATTGAATATGGAGGCGTATCGGTGTGAAATTTGCTATCACCTACGGTATATTGATAAGGAGCCGAACTTGATCCGCGAGATCAAATCCCGTTGGTTCAAGAAGCACTCTCTAAAGAGTAGACTTCAGATTTATATATAAAAATCAGAAGTATGACCGCCGTATAGACTTCAGTAAAGTCTTTAGAAGGTCATACATGTTTTAGAGGCACATTGTCCTTTTCAGATTTCTAGAATACAGATTTGCCACTTAACTCTCTTGAATTAATTTAGGAAATTGTTTCTCTTTCCTGCGACATTAGAATTATCATTCTCAATGATCCAACTTACTGTTTCTCCAATTCCGCACATTTGGCTTCAAAATATTTCCTCAAATCTTCCATTTCTTGATTATGTTTGAGTTCACGTTCCTGCCGCTGCAACAAAAGACGTTGTATCTCTTCGTCTTTTTCACGCTTTTCCGTCTCCCATTGATCCATAACAATTTTTAGCTCCTGTTCACTTTTCATTCGCAGCTTTTCTAATTCTTGACATAGATAATCATCGAATTTCTTTTGAACCATAAAAAAGAGACGCACTTCACTGGGTGTTAAATATTTTTGAAATTGTTCAATTTGTTTGTTGAAGGGAGTGGAAATGATTTCCGGTTCATTTGGCATATAATCAAATTGTCGTGGCATTGAGAGTTGACGTTCTCGGGAATTGCGTGAGAATTTCTCTTCGTTGTCGGTAAAATAATGCCGCTCGAAATCATCATCACTTTCACTAACAAGATCCATAGAAATTTCCGAGATACGTTGTCCGAAATTGCTTTCCTGATCGGCTCGGGGCCAGGAGGGGCGTTTCAGCGTGTCCATGGCATCGGTTAGTTGTTTGCGAAGTAGTTGAACTTCGGTGGCTAGTTTTTCACTTTCAGTTTGCAGATTCTCCCGTATGGTCAAGGATTGCTGAAGGGATTCCGTTAGTTTGGCAATTAATTCATCACGTTTGGTTAGCTCCACATAGATATCCATGGTCTGGAAGAGGAAAAAGATGCATTAATTTCCTAGAAATATAGTTCTTCCAAAAAAGCTTACCTGTTGCCCAAAATCTTCCTGTAGGGTCCTATATTCCGTTGAGTTAGTGGCCAATGAACTGGTTTCCCTACCCGACACCGAACCCAATTGTTCGCTTGATTCTCTGCGGGACATATTTTCCAGTTGCATATTTAGTGAAGCCAAACAGGCATCTTTGGTGGCCAACATTTGTTGCAGTTCTCCCACCTTCTGTTCCAACATTTGTATCATATTAAGGCTAACTGCCGAATTACTGGTAGAAGTGGCCTCATTCGAATTGCATTCCATTTCATTTTGTTTGGCTTGAGCCTCCAATTTGCTGGCCAATGCTGCCAAGGATTGTTGTTCCTCCTGGGTGGATAAGGAATTACGTTCACTCTCCTCCGTTATATCCTCGAGGACATCTTTGGCAAATTCCACCAAAGAAACACGTTCCATGGCTTTGGGTTGTTGAGAGTTAACATCTCCGCTCACGGTTGCGGGAGATGTGGACACCTCTGCCGATGATAGAATGTTCTCCCTCATTGCCATAATTCGACATTTCATCAATTTCAAATCGGTCTCCTCTTCATCATCTTCCTCTTCCGTTGAGTCCATCATTGTATTGCCTCCTTTGGCTGCACCAATTTCAGTTTTCAGTGTCTGATCCAAATCATCATCGATTTTAGTGGAGGTTAATGGCTTCTCTGGATTATCGGGCAGGCTTTCATCCAAATCGGTAACAATTTCTATGGGTGGCGAGGGTTCCACCACTAGGACCCCACAACTTTCAACTTGTTGGAAATCTGCAGGCTTAACAAAATCTTCGGTTGCATAATTGAGACTTGTTTCCTTGGATTCTTCGATTTTCAAACTCTTTCGAGACCCCATTTCCAGCGAAGTGGACTTATCCTCTTTCGGATCCTGGTTTTCTTTATCCGCACTTTGTTCCAACAACAAATCATCAATCAATGTTTTGTTGTTGTCAATATAACTGGGATTCAGAGAGCTAATTTCATGGTCGTCTAGGGTTATTTCCAATGACGGATTTGAGGCCATCATCTCTTCCATTGATTGATCCTTTTCACTGTAATTCGATGAGGAGCCGGACAGGGGTTTTATATCGGGATTTTCAAATAATTCGGGTAAGGATGATTTTTTGGTTGCCGTAACCGTGGCCAAGGGTTTTAGTAGCATTTTTTGCGACGACGATTCAGAGTGAGCGGGTCTTGCAATGTTCGTCAAGGGTTCTAAGATTTTTACGGGATTTGGTTTCACATTTTCTGTTGGGTGTTGGGGGTCAACATTGGCTTTGAGTTGTTCTTTTTCTTTTTCCAGGTTCTCCAATTTTTCCTGGTCACTTTGAAGACTTTGCAGGGCGTCCGACTTTGGAACGCTTTTGGATATGTCTGTAATAAAAGGTAGGCGATTAGATAAGAGAAGATAAAGGGTGGATTAAGACTTCAAGAAAAAAACGGGACCATCGGATATTTTTTGATCAAAAATTAGACATTAGAAAAGAAAGCCTCAGATATACAAATGTCTCCAGAGATTTTATAAAAAGAGATTTAATGTGTTCTGTAGCATGCAGAGAGGCCTCCGCAGGTCTCCAGATTTTTTTTACAAAAAAAGCATTGGTTCTACTTAGACCTCCATAGATTTGTCTATAGGAAAAATGGCACCTCTGGTATACTGAGGCCTACAGTGAAAATACTACCTCAGGTGTACGGAGGCCTCTAGAGACTTTTTTCCACAAAAAAAAAAAAAAAAATGCGTCAGGTGTACCCAAGCCTCCAGAAATTTTTTTTATCGAAAAAATTAGCCCTAATGTGCCTGAGAGCCTTAGACAGTTTTGTTCCTATTGAAAAAATGGGCTCAGCGTACCCAAGTCTTAAAATATATTTTTTATAGAAAAAATCGAAACCCCCGTGTACTGAGGCCTCCCGAGAATATTTTCTACAGAGACCTCAGAGATGTTTTCCATTAGAAAAAATAGCACCTCAGGTGTTTTGAGGCCTACACAGATTTTGTTGTATAGAAAAAATAGACCTTCAACGATTTGTTTCTATAGAAAAAGTGAGCCCTCAGGTGTACTTGGGCCATCAGAGATATTTTTCTGCACAGACCTCCAGAGAAAATGAGCCCTCAGGTGTTCTGAGGCCTCCAAAGATTTTTTCTATAGAAAAAATGAGCCCTCAGGTGTTCTGAGGCCTCTAGAGATTTTTTTCTATCTCCAGAGTTGTTATTCTATAAAAAACATAGATCTTTGGTACCGAGATCTACATAGATTTTTTCTATAGAAAAAATGAAAATTGGACCCTCAGGTATCCTGAGCCCTCCAGAGATTATTTCTATAGAAAAAACTGAGCCCTTAGGTGTACTCCAGAGATAATTTCTTCACAGTTCAAAAGAGACCTCCACAGGGGCGAAAAAAAATTAGACCTAAGGTATCCGAGGCCTCCATAGGTCAACGGAGGTCTCCACTGAAAAAAATAGACCTGTATCCTGAGACCTCCAAGATGTCTTTTTTATAATAAAAATGAAACCTTAGGTGTCCCGAAGTTTACTCATACATTTTTTTTGCAACTTACCTTTATTACTCTCCCCTCCAGCCCCCTCCGGCAACGACAAGGGATAATCTCCATCCGACACTAACGATTCAGGCTCTTCCACAGGTTCTTCTTGCAATTCGGAAACATCATGTGAGGTACTTTGATTACTTAAACTCTGTTCCGCGTGGTTATTCTCCTCCTCCAGTCCAAGACTGGCACTCCGTTCCTCCGATTGTGGTACTGAACGAATTTCATGTTTATCTTGTGGTAGACCCAACGATACTTCATCACTGTCCTCCAAAACAAAATGTTGGGCTAATTTACCGCCCGATAACTGATCGTCGTCGATTTTAAATTGACCCTCATCACTTGGAGAACTTTTTTTACTCTTTCCCGATGATAGTTTTTCCGAATTTCCAATACTTGATAAATCGGAGAGATCAATGCCAAACATTTGTTGTTCGCTTTTTTGGGAAAGAGGTGGTGGTTGTTTACTTGGCCCTGGTAGAGAATCTAAGGAATCCACCTGTTCATCACTAATCTCCTCTAGAGCCTCCTCGATTTCTTCTTCAATTTCATCGCTGGGTTCATCACTTAGACTAGAAAGAAGATTTGTCGAACTTCGTTGTGGCACATTACTCTGGCTGGTGGTGTTGTTAGATCGGCTAATGGCAGCCGATTGTGCTGAAGATGTTGTTGTTGCTGGTGTGGTGGTGGCCGCAGTCGTTGTTGTGGTTTTTTGAGAGCCCTCCATTATATCAATTGTAATGGAGCTGGTTGGCTCATCGAAATATGTCGATAATGAAGCTGTGTCGCTTAGACTTACTGGTGGCACGACCTCCTGCTGTAAAAGTTCTATGGTATCCAGGGAGCAGGGGGAATCGTTGGCTACTTGATGTTGTTGTTTCTGTTCTTCACTTTCACTCTCTGCTGGCTTTTCAATGGTAAATGTTAGGCGTGATTCTGCTGCCGTATCGTTGTGTTGCTGCAACAATTGTTCCGCTGGTGGTGATTGTTCATGATGGGCGGCACAGCAACCCGGCAGACATTGTTGCAAATGTTCACACGAGAGGGTTTTCGATGATGATGATGCTGCTGGTGTATGACTTATAAATTCTAATGTTGGTATTAATTCAATATTATTTATTGTTGTTGTGGTTGTTGTGTCACCTTCTGAAAATTCGAAATGTGAAGAGGTTGATTCCTTGCTGGGTATTTCACTGTCGTTTGCGTTGCAAGGTTTAGCTGCATACACCACAATATCTGAAGTGATATCTTGACTGTTGGTTACATTCAAATATGGATGAATTGTTGTTGTTGCCGCTGTCGGTATCGGTGTTGAGGTCTTGTATGTTGCTCGGGGACGCAACAATGTTGTGATCTGTAAAAGAGAGGGAGAAGGGAATTATTAAATGTAATCAAGGGGGAAATTATTTATGAGTTGCTTTTCTATAAAAAATGAGACATCAAAAAATGAGACTGGGACCTTCAGAGTACTGTGGACATCCAAAGATTTCTATGTAATAGGAATTGCCTTAAGTGTACTGAGGCCTCAAGAGACTTCAGTTTTATTCAGGTCAGCACAGATCGTTTCTACAAAAAAAAAAAAAAAAAAACATCTTAAAGTGCACTGAAGCCTCCAAAGATGTTCTTCTATAGAAAAAATGACATTATGTGAACCTGAACCCTCCAGAGAGGTTTCTCTGTAATCATGGAGAAAATATTTCCTGAGTTGTTTTTCTATAAAAAAAATGTGAGACGCCAGATGTACTAAGGCCTCCGGAGTAATGAGGACATCCAAAGATTTGTTTCTATAGAATAACAAATGCCTCAGGTGTACTGAGGCCTCAAGAGATTTTTTTATAGCACAAAATTTTACTTAGGTCTACAGATATCCTTTCTCCTCCAGAGGTTTTAGTATTAAAAAAATTGCCTCAAAGGCATTGTGATTTTTTATAAAAAAAAATCTGTGGAGAACTCAGTTCGATATGAGACAAGTTTTTTCTATAGAAAAAATCGGTGGATTTATGATCATTTTTTTATACAAAGAAAAAACAGGTAAAACGTGTCAGTCGGTGTTGCCGACAGATATATGTAGCCTCAGCCTATGATTTGCAGAGGTCTTCGGAGTTGCACACACGTTTTATCAAAGATGTTTCGATTCTAATGTTGATCGTATAGGTTATTAAATTCAGTTAAAATAAAATTTACAAGTTTATACAATACTGACCCTTTTTGGGGGAGGTACCAGAAGAGAGGGCAGACGGGTCCCACATTCTGACTTGATCTAGGCTTCGTAAAGATAATGGGTTGTGCAAAGTTTGGTTCACATTGGACATTTCATTTGCCTGATATTGGATTTATAAATATTGAAAATGTTGACCATTTGAGGGGGAGGTATCAGAAGTTGTGGACCAATGGGTCCCATCTTCGTATTCGACCTAGGCTTGGTGAAAATAATAGGTAGTACAAAGGAGTGGACCGATATTCCCGATACATTTGTAAATCAAATCCAAATTGTCTGAAATAGATTTGGTTCAAAGAATCATGGGGTCTAAAACTAATATTTCGATGAAGCACATTTTTGCGGTTTCAAAAGGTATTTACCCTTATTGTTTAACCGCGAAGATCCCGGAATGTCACTTCAAAAGACTAACATATAGTCACATCGGTAGGAAAATGCGTCTCTGCAAGCTACCTAGAATTGGAGCTACCGGTATATGGGGTTACTTATACCAAAACGTAGACCGATATTAAAATGTTTTGATAGGAAGATTTGAGAATGTGAACCCAAAATATTAATTTTTTACCATTTCGGCGGAAGAACTTGCCTAAAATCCACATGGCTCCGAAATTTGGGAAATACCCTGAAACATGGACCGTTATTAATAATTTTTATAGAGATTTTTTACACAATGATAATCCCAAATATCAAATTACAGTGATTTATAGTAGAGAAATTTGCTACCCCATGAGAACTAGAGCCAACTCGGTATTTGGTATACGAAGCGAAGGTATAATTTTTTTGGATTTTTTTTTTTTTGGAAAAACAAATTACTATATATTTTAAGAGGGTCATCAGATCTGTATTTTTTCCTCTCGTTAAACCTTTTAGGAGCATAGTGCTTACGTAAAGCATTGACATCTTACTCGATTAGTCCTTGTGTTAATTTCGTTAAACATTATTCTATTATTCGAGCTAAGTAGATGATTGGTCTGCTGTAGCCTATCCTAAGTGGTGGGGCTGCCATCTATCGTTGCCTAGAAACAACGACACATATTTTATTTATTATACAGTTCTTGGGATCATTGCTTATTTAGGGTTGTCATTTTCCTCAAGGTGGCGCTATCCATACCAATTATACTTTGGTTTCAAGGTTGCTTATTAGAATACCGGGGGGCTTCGGATGCATTTTAATACTGGCGGATAATGTAACCTTCTTATACAAATATTTTCGAAAACCACTTTGAAAGAATATAGTCCAAAAGATAATATTTGTTGGAAGGTACACCAATTCGGTTAAAAAATGTGCTGGTGGAGGGTATAAAAATGGCGTAGATTATCAGTTTTTTCTACACAGGTCTCTAGAGTATAGATATGTTTTTCTATAGAAAAATATTTTTTATTAAAATCAAATTCTTAGGACGCAGTTATTTAGGACACTTATGATAAATTCATTGTCATCCATATTTGCTTTGCCAAATACCCCGAAAAAATTCTCACATGACCCAAATAAACCACACATAGTATTTTCATAGTCCTCTGAAAAATATTCTTTAAACATTAACACTTCTTGGGCTGATACTCCTTTCAAACATATTAATTAAAAAATCCGCGATTATAGTTGTGATATTTCTGTGGAAAATATTATTCGAGAAATCTATGCTTCTTATTGCGATAGTACCTTAAAAATTCAGGTTTTCAATTTTCCCCAATTATTTCCCACCCTCGTAATTGTTATTATTTATTTATTTTTTTTTTTTTTGCTTCTAATTTCTAACAAATTGTTTTTATGCAAATATGAATGCACTTCGGCTGTTCTAGTTTTATGACCGACTTACACAAATATTCTTATTCATTTGCTCTCTGTGCTCAAAGGCATCTTGACGTTGCGTCCGTGTTTGTTCACTTTGTCACTTCAAAACATTAATAATTTAGGTTGTTGTTAAATTTGAATTTGAGCAAAAATGATCTGGGCTGCGGGCTATTGCCCTACAATTTTGAGAAATTAGTTTTTATATGTTTTTGTAAAAACAATCCGAAATGCGTATAAACATATTTAATAGGTGTGTTGTGGTTTATTTGGGTCATGTGGGAATGTTTTCGGGTTATTTGGCAAAGAAAAGAATGGGTGATAGTGAAATTGTAGTAAGGGCATCTTTTTCATTCAGGGCAGGATTCTTTTTTTTAAGAAAATATTATTGTATCTATAAAAATAATGCCGACGCACCAGAGAATGGGAATTGAATATTTTTCTACCAAACAAGAAAACCTCAGGTGTCTCACACATTTTTCCTTAGAAAAATCTCGGGTCTCTTTTTACATCTGAAGTAACTTTTTTCTATAGAACAAATTTTCTTGATGCCCCAGTACATCCGAAGCCAGTTTTTTCTATAAGAACAATTTCTGGTGACTTAAAAAATTTACGCCCCATATAAGGAGACATTTTTTCTCCTAATTTTAAAATTTATTAGAAATTTAATTTAATTACCACAACAACTTCCCCAATAAATTTCCTTTCATGGATGAACGGCAATATTTGTCGGATTTTATGATAATAATAGAAATTGTTCGAAAGGGAGATGACATCTATACCAAATCAATGATCCCTATAAAATTTCCATGTAACTTCGTGGCTATTTATATTTACAGTCAATATTTTTATTTTTAATTTTTATTTCCTGTGATTCTCCTTCACCTTCTACTCACTCACACCCACAATCTTCCATAGCCAACATGCCGGTCTTTTCATCACTTGGCTACAAAGAAAAAGGAAACCTAAGAATCACAGCCATAAATCACTCAACTCCAGCAATTGTTGGAGTAGCTGAGGTTTTCGATTTTCATTGGTCCATGGAAATATTAAAAAAATTTTATGGACAAATATTTAGAAATCCCGTGAAATAAAACTTCGGAAAATAGCAGCTTTGAAGTGGAAATTTGTGTACAAAAGTGTCACATAACATGAAATGCTTTTTGGAGAGGGGGATGGATTTTTTTCAGAGAAAATCTTAATATTTTTTCTGGTGCAAGCATCAAATTCGATCGATTCGGAATTTCTTTCTGCAGGAAAAAACTGTTCAAAGTAGCTGAGGTTTATCAAAAACCAAAAATAATTTTGATCGGAAATATTGAAGTCTTCATACCTGAAGTCTTCCTTCATTATTATTATTTCCTTTTTGCGGATTTCTTTTCTACCTATTCATGTCATTCTGTTATTACCATCTATTAGAATTTGTGTGTTTTTCAGTGGAAACATCAATAAATCCATTCGGGATTTATTTTTCTGTAGAAAAACGCTCTTCAAAGTAGCTGAGGTTTATTAAAAAATTCTTCTCATCAAAAAAATACCCATCCTCAGACCTGCAGTACCCTTTCATTCATTCAAAAATATTTTTTGCAGATTTATTTTCTATCATCCTCTTCAAAATCCCATATCCTCTCCAAGTCATTCCGCCATTGCCATCAATAACAATTTGTGTGATTTAAAAAAAAAAATCTGCATATCTCTTATCCCCACCTCCCTTCAAC